CGGGTGTGAGCAGGGAGAGTAAACGGACGCCAGGTGTAACGGTTTACGACAGCCGTAAATTGACTCCCCGTTGGTGCAACGGGGCCCTGGATTTTTATTGATCGATCTACCGTACAAAATTAGAAAAATGGACCGTCCCTGGGTGGGCTTGAACCACCAACCTTTCGGTTAACAGCCGAACGCGCTAACCGATTGCGCCACAGAGACCAATATACTTGTCTTAAAGGTGTTATTTCTCACCTGGCGGCCCATATGACGGCAGGTAGATTGAGATTTTATCTCACCGTCGCTTAAGCCTTTATGTATGAGGCCTCTGACCTGATGGTAACGCATGATAAACTGTCCTGTGCAGGGTTTATTACCTGCCTGTTTAATGAATTACAATTTTTTGTAAGATTCTTTAGTGAATTGTTTCCAACACAAACATTTGCTCCACATCACACTAGTAATATTTTGGTTGTTTTAATTGAAAAATGGGTAATTGTAAAGCAATTATTTATAATATAAATGGACACTTTGAAAGTGCACACAGGTAAACAAGTACCCCAATTTGGGCAAAGTTAGGAGTTAAATTCTGACTGGAATTCTGAAATGTCATTTTAAGAAATCATGAGAAAAAAAAACGCTAATAAAATAAGATCTTTATAAAAATACGGGTGGGCCTGAACCACCAACCTTTCGGTTAACAGCCAAACACGCTAGCCGACATGTGGATGTGGTGGTCAGTACCGTGGAAATGCGACAAGAAACTGTTCAGTAGATTTTTAACTTAAAAAGTTTGAAAAAATGTGTTTTTCACGGCACAGTTACATGTATTAAATATGGTTATGTTCTGGCGGTTTTCGGTCCTTTCTCGCATTTCTCTCGTTTTCAGTGCAGGGTTGCTGCAGTACAGCAAAATTCTGTTATTATAAATTTAGAAGGCAAACTGTCGGTTACGATCGTTGGTTAACAGCCTTTTGGCAATCTGAAAACAACATATAACACGTACGTCATGTAAACTAGTAATTTTGTGCAGATGACACCTCTTAAAATTTAGATTTTTTCCTTTTCTTTATGATTCACTCATGATTGGCCAACGGATGATGTGCACGACGTAAAATTCCAAAGCAGATGCAGTGATCACGACGTAATAAAGAAATCAAATACCGGAGAACATAGTATAATGAATAATGAGGCCATTGACATCCCTTCATATTATTTTTTTGTGAAATTAAAAAGCCCATTTGTTTATGGTAGGCGTATGTTATTACAAATGATATAGATTTGATATATAAGCCAAGAATGGATAAATTTTATTTATTTTTAAGAACACCAAATAAACACATTTACTGGAAACATTTACTGTCAATTCCCGTTGTTAGTGTCTTGTTACTTCTCACCAGCTTGTGTCTTAAATGTTTTAATGATACTATACTTGTAAATGAGCACAATTGTTCATTAGTTTGGCAGTTCTGTCATTCATGATAATTATAAAACACAAGCTGGAATGTGGTCATGCCTTTAGCTAGCAGTCAGTGGGTAACAACATCAACTCACATCAGCAACTTTGGTAACGTCACGTAATGTCTTTGGTTGTAGGCCATATATCCTTATAACCCATTGTGTAAAGTCTACAGAGCTAGAGTAGGCTTCTTAATTAATTTGATTCAGAACAGAAGAAGTTAGGTTCTAAAATCCTTCGTCTTGGCTTGAGCTTGAAGAGTGGGAATCCCCACAAATCAGCGGAATGTACCTAAGCAAGCAGCGAGTGAATGGTTGAGACTCAGTTTTGTTGACAGCGATGGATGTTCTCATATCGATTAACACGTACATGTAAATATTGTGGCCATGAATCTGGAAAGTAGTATTTAAGCGTTATCCAACCTAAAAGTATACAACTGTGTCCGTATTTCGAGCCCTAGATTTTATCCCACTTACGTCAGCCTAACCATTATAACCAAATGGGACGGTCTTTCTGTTACACGGACTCTCAGTTTTGTTACACTGGGCCATATCAGTGTACTGAAAAGGTTGTATATATTCCGGTTCCATCGTTCTCTACAAAATTTACAAAATATACAGACAAGTTTACAAGCTACCGGGACTGATTAAGATAAGAGCTTTACCAACACATGGTCGTCACTGGCTTGAATCACCAAACTTTCGGCTCACAGACGACTGCGCTAGCCACGACTAGGATGTGGCAGTCTCAAGATCAGTGGAAATGCGACTAAAAAAGGTT